AAAATCGTGAATCGAATCGAATCGTGAAATCAAAATCGTGAATCGAATCGAATCGTGAGTTGAGTGAATCGTTACATCCCTACATAATATTATATTATTGCCATTATTTACGCAATGGCAATATTATTATTATATTATATTATTGCCATTATTTACTCAATGGCATATATACACTATAATGTAAATAATTGATTATATTAAGTAAGGAATTAATAACACTATATATATATATATGCACCATTGTGTAAATAATTAATAATTATATATATTATTTACTTCATATCTGTAACGTGGCTGACGAGACGTGAGACGTGCGGATCCATGTGCAAGCTTTATTCACAGGCGTGGTCAGAAACATGCATGGGTCAGACAACGGCAAACAGGAATATGGTGGACAAGACACAAGAATAATCCTAGGGCTAGCGAAGGTCAACGAACGGCGAACAGAATCAAAAGGGCAAGACTAAAGGGATAAATCCAGGAAACCAGGCAAGGATCAGAAACCGAGGAAACAGACAAGGCAAGACTAGGCTAAGGCAGGGTAAACTAACGAGGGCTCTGTAGTGTAGCTATCAAATGATAAGCGCTAAACAATACTCGGCAGTTAGAAAGGAGTGAGATGGAGTGTTAAATAGTGAGTGAGTGATATGAAACAGCTGTGTGCAATCAGTGCTGTGTGCAATCAGTGCAATGAATGATGGGATATGTAGTCCGGGGTGATATGCAACCGTGTGTAGTGCGTGAGTCAATGAAAATGGAAAGGGTGACCTCTGATGGCTAGCAGACGGAAGTTCATGGACCGGATACGTAACAGAAGTATTTATTTATTTATTTTTTACCATTTTTTGTTTTTGTTGTCCAAAAATGGCTGTTAAGTTTTTAAGTATTTCTTCATGCAATAGATATTAATTTAGAGTGAAATTACCATTTTTGTCAACAAAATTAAGTTTTTTTTATTATTATTTGAGCCTGTTTAATGCTCTTTTTTTTACTATTATTTTACTATTTATTTTAACACATTCTGAATTAATTCTGTCAATTTATTTTTTATTAATATCTTGTACATTTTAATTGGAATTATTCAAATATCATCATGTGTCCTTTTTTGCTTTATAAAAACCAAAAACCCTTTGTCATCAAATTTTGTTTTCAGTAATTTTCTGTAATTTTTTTCTCCATTTTTTTGTCTTACAATAAATGTCCTTTAAATTAAAATGTATACTTATATTTAATTACATTTTAAAAATATTTCTGTTTGTCATATATAATCATTTATAATGAAATGGCATATAATTTGTGCCAATAAAAAATTATCTCGGTCAATGAAAAGATGTCAAACTGTCAAAAAGACCAAACTTTGACCAGATTTTCATTTTTGAGATGTACCGGACATAGTATTAAACATTTAACAGCATAAACAAGATACAATATGAGTCTGAAGTAATAGCATATATTATTTAGTATATATTGAATAAATATGAGTAAACTTTTCAGAAGTTGCAGCTTTAGAGGATGTTATTAACTTTCTGTTTTAGAGCTTGTTTAATGCTCTTTATTTATATTTTTTATTTGTTATTATACAATATATTTCTGTATTGTATTGTACTTGTATTGTTTGTTGATATCCTTTTCTCTTCATATTTTTATCAACAGTGTGTTTCAGTTGGAATAAATTAAATTTTAAATATCATGATGTCTCTTTCCGTTTTGTGAAATCCATAACCCTTTCTCAACAAAGATTTTCATCAATAATTTCGTTGACGAGATTTACTCCGCCACAGCAAAGCAACTTTTTTTGTAATTTTAATGTAAAGCTGGAGATTTAGTCACACATCAAACATTTGCACAGAGCTCTATCACACAGCACATTTTATACGTATTTTTCCTGGAGCTGCCTTGCGGAATCAAGCTTGTTTTAAGTAATTAGGCTCTTGCATATATGACGACAGCAGCCAACAGTGTGTCATCTGTTGAAATCTGTTTCAACTCAATAATTGTAAAGTTCCAATGATTTTCAAACAGTTGCAGCATCCATCTGCAATTCATCTCTCTGCAGGTTAATGAAGTAAATTGGGGAAACTTGTTTTGCCATGAGAGACCGTGTGTGCTTGTGTGGTTTGGTATCAGCCTACGTGAGTGTACGCATGCATGTGTGTGTGTGTGTGTGTGTGTGTGTGTACAGTGTGTGCTGTAGTCACAAGCTTGTGTGTGTGTATGCCTCCAGTGCACTTGCCAGCTCTCTACACTATGCTTGGATTGTCTTGCTTCCTTCTGTGCATGCAGATGTGGGCATTTGCACGCACATCAGCCCTTGAGAATGGCAGTCCAGCAGCCCCTAGAGCTCCATGCATACTCCCAAAGCGCCAAGTGTTAATCCTTTTGAGCGTGTTGTGTCTTTACACACAGAGGGAATTAGTACTCGTATCTGTGGGCTAGACCGTAAAGTACTCTTCAGATCTCAAGCACTGTAATTACTGTTGTCTGCATGTTATAAGCAACTGTTCAGAGATTCAGTCCTGTGGTAGATTCTGTAGCTATGGTGGTGTTCAAACAGTAGAGCATGGCACTAACAATGGCAAGGTCATGGGTTCGATTCCCATGGAATGCATGAAATGGTTTGAAAAATAACTTTGCAGTTCTAAACTTTTTAAAATTCATTTTGGATAAAAGCATCTGCCAAATGCATGTGTGAGTATGTAATGTAAATGTGGTAGATTTGGGAAAAGGTTGGTTGCATTTTTGGTGTGTGCTATTTATGCATATAGCAGCCTTTTAAGAACAAAATAGATCTATTTAAAGAAGAATGTCCTTGACTCAAAAAGCTTGCTTGACCGTGTTTACATCCTTTACTTGACTTTGAAACTGAAAATCTTTGTATATTTAAACTGATTTAATTCTGTGCTTGTTGTGCTAGATCTAAAAGCGTTCGTAGTATTATTTGTTTGTTTATTTATTTATGTAAGTATTCGAATAATCTGCAGTCTCTCTTACATGCAGATATAGTGGAATGTTAAGAGTCATCCATGGACAAAGATTTCTTGAAATTCATTTGGAATCGATGGATGGAATTCTCGTTAACATATTATGTTTCACATAATATTTAATAGTTATATGTATATGTGTTATATGTATACGTTAAAATGAATACATAATGACTATAAATGGTGTGTTTTTGCTCTCTTATGTGTCTGCAGATGGGACTCCTTACACGTGGTGGGTCGGCCGCGGTAACGAGAAGCACTTTTACTGGGGCGGCTCTGTGCCGGGCATTCAGAAATGTGCATGTGGCATTGAGCGCAACTGCACCGACTCCAAATACTACTGCAACTGTGACGCCGACCAGAAGCAGTGGTAAGCCACACATTATCTGAGTAGCAATATGCTGTTTCCATGACGATCAACAAAGCCAGTAGCTAATTATGAGCTGTGGACTAAGTTACTATTTGCTATTTTACTGACCTTCTCAGCCCACCTATCAAACTTAAGAGAGACAAGTATGTCATGTTCCCATCTTCTTTATTGTCTCTGTGTATTCATTAAATAACGTGTCTGCTTCGTGACGCAGTTGTCTCGACCTCAGCATTTGTGCAAATGGCAAACAGATTGTGCTGATAAAGAAGTTTAAGTAGAGCCGAACCCTGATATTTCCATCAACAAAAGCTCTGGCTTGTGTGTTTGGTGGCTTTATTACTAAAGAGAGCTGTGGGGGATATTGCAAAGGAGAGGAACAAGGTCATTCATCAGACACCCTGATAGAATTGTCTGTAATGCATGTGCGTATGTATTGCTTTGAGACGCATTCATTTACATCCGTTCTAATGGGTCTTTATACGGTAGCTGTTAATGCCAGTCAGCTGTTAAAGAACAGAGAGATAAACAATCCACCTTAATACAACAAACTCAATCTTACATTTGCAAAGAAAAGAAGAGAGAAAGTCTGTTAGTATTACCATTACCATAGTGCCTTAGATCTGAGCACAGTTGTATTTTGAGCCAATCACCTGAGCAGTACAATATATGTCAGATATAACTAAATACTGTGCATCTGCAACATAATAACATCACGACAAAACTGATTGGCTGATGGCGCCACAAGAATGCACAAAGACCCGCACTACAGTTGTAACCTTTGTGGTTAAAGCGGACATAACACACACAGTTTCTGCCAATCTCATGTTAATCTTGAGTACCTATAGAGTAGTAATTATTGACGTCATACAGGGGCATACTCAATAAAAAAAAACTTTCCGAAACTTATACGAACCCTGAAGGAGTGCCTTTGGCACAGGACTACTCTGTTATACGTCCAACTTGTTTTTTTTTTTTACTTTGGTCATGTTTAGCATGAGAATCCAACTCTTTAGCAGTGTAAATAACTCAGAATGCATGAAATGGCATTAAACATCCCCTTTAACTGAAACTTTTTCGGTAATTTATTAAATAAATATTAATTTTAAAACTTGGCAACTAACAGAAATAAGCTGACATTGAAGTACTAAAATTACTAAAACAAAAACTGAAATAAAAATGGATTAAAGCTATAGAAAATGACAAAACCACATACTAATTACTAAAAATGAAAACTTAATACAAAAAAACTTGCTCAAAATTTTAAAAAATACTATAATAGTAATCTATCTATCTGTATTAACTGTACATTAACTGTACATTAGTGCAGGCATTAACTAGACCATGCTAACCAGTTAATCCATTAGTGCTCACATGTAGTACTGAATCATTCATGCTGAAAAGTTTTGAAAAAAATAGTTCAGTGTAATTAAAAATTGTTCTGCCCAGTGTTTGCTTGTCCTGTACATTTTTATGCATATCAGAGTATTACACCATTAACTTAGCAACATGTTAATGTCAGACTGTTGTTGTGTTGTGTTCTCTTGTGCCAAGCACTATTTCTGTGGCTTGTGGAGTTGCTACCTACAGTATGTAGAGCATTTCAAATTGCTCACTTCCATGAGAGGTTGCCGTCTTAGGGGCCATTTACACTGGATGTGTTTTTGCATTCTACTGCACTCCTTTTCTGTTGTTTTTGTATGTAAACATGCTCTAGATGAATGTGTTTCACCAATGCACTCCTGTTTGCAGCATCTCTCACATGACACTGCAATCTAAAACCGTGGTTCGACATGCAGAAACACATTCTGTGTGGTTTTGGAACAGCTATAGACTATCAGGCATTTGTAAGCATTGGCGCTCCACAGGAAGTGTATTGGATGGATTGGTAGAAAGTTATAACCAAACAGACTTTATGTGCCCCTGGGTAACTGTGTGTTTGTGTTTGTATAATGTACATTGTGTTTGTTTGCACAGATTTCATTATGCTAAGAACTTGGAAATGATCTTTTAATACTATATTCTTAAGGTACGCATAGCCTCAGTCAGTGAGCTGTATCTTATTAGCATATTAGTATTTGTGTTTTCCTGATGGATTTCTTCATCATCATCATGTTTTTGATACATTTTGTGAATATTTATACAGCTAGACTGTTGGAAAGAGATAATTTTGCTGCTTCTGTTGCTGGTTTAGCTGAACACACAGTAATATGTGTTAATGGCCCATGCACAGATGGACAGCGGGTTATTGCGATGCCCTCGCCACTTGTCATAAACCCCAAGCAAACTGAACCACCATGCATAATGGATACAAATTAGGACATTGGATTTCAAAGCAGCATGTTTCATTCCCAACCACATTGTTGATGGTGTTTTTTTTTTCCTCTACAGGTTTGCGATACATAATTGTTTTTTAAATGACTTTTGCGGTTGCATTGGCACCGTGATAGATGGTGGCATTAAAGTAATGCAGACATAGTGCATGTACCTGTGAGGTTTATGTATGTGTGTGTTCACTAATGTTTACTAATTTTGCAAAATACGTGCAGTGAGTGTTTCCACTGATTAAACAAATTGTATTGCTGTAATTAAACAGCTAGTCATCAGTGTCAGAGGGCTGCTTTTGAGAGAAAACAAACATTTTGCGTATTAAAGCTTTAATGAGTTTATTAGATCTTGTCAACAAGGAGAGTTAAGATTCTTAAGGTTTAGTACTATGATGCAGGAAAAAAATGAAAATAAGATGTTTATTTTTTTCATCATAATTTATTATGAATTATAATTTTTGGTAGGAGGGACGATTCCGGGATTCTGGTATATAAAGACCACTTACCGGTCAGCCAAGTGGCTGTTGGGGACACAAATCGACCCGGCTCAGAGGCCAAGCTGACCGTGGGACCTCTCCGTTGCTATGGAGACCGTGAGTCTATTTCTTTCTACTTAAATAATATCCAGCTTCGGCTCACAAGAATACAGCTTGTGGATTAATAAACAAATAACTGAACATAGACAACTAATTATGTGGTTTTAATGCTTTATTAAATTAAGTAAACAGTTAAATGTTGTTTGCATATTATTCTGAGCAAGCACTGCTGTTTTTTTGTCCTTTGCAATTTATGAAAGCAGCTTTCTTCGTCTGGCAGTTACTGTGTACAAGGCTATGAATCTTTTATGTCTTCACATGGTGGCCTTGCAATTAAAAACCTTCCGCTCTTGAAATATGTTGTAATAATCTGTATTGCCAAAGGATTTGTTTTAATGGCATCTTCTTTAAATAGATGTTTAGCATTTTTCAAGGTCAGCCCATTGTCTGCAGCACTCTGAAAGAGGACGAGGAAATGGGCACAGATGTCTCCAGCGTAACCGTCCCAAAGTTGTGATCGGCAATCAGAGCTTTTCAATCATCATTACATCCCACAGAGGCCCCTGCCACTCATTTTTATAAACTGGTGTCAACAGCCAGCTTGCCATATCTTCATAAAAATGATCAGTTTTTTCTCTCTGAGCAATTGTGAGGTAGGCGAATTAGATGTTTTTTTTTTGTGAGTCAGATGCAATTATAAATGCCCAAGTTTCACCAGAGCGAAACTGAGAACCCAAGGGTAAAATACAGAGCCATCCCCCACCATCATCACCATGTGAAATGATGCATTTTTATGCCTCATTATTCCTGTTAATTGCATCTGGCTTATTACTTAGATCAGGTGCATTCGATTACACTCACCTGTAAGACAAGAACGTCAACTGCTGTTTTTTCTTCCTTTTTTCCTATTGTTCCCACACACCTGTGACTGGAAGATATTTGTCCTATTATTCAGTTCTCTTGTAATTTAGGCCATGTAATACTATGTTTTCATCAGGTTCTTCCAACTACTGGACATATGCTTTAGGAACATACACTATGGACATTTATATGAATTATCCATAGAGGGAAATTGGCTATAAGAAAATAAAAAAGATATATATATAGTTGGCTATATAAGCCGTTACAGTACATGATCAGAGATTGTCAGTACATCTCAAATTTGTCTGTTTATTTAGATTTAGCAAACTGGAATTATTGAGATCACTTTTGTGCCCTTGACCAAGGCGTTTATGCCCAAATGACACCAGGAAAGCAGTGCCGGTAATAAGGGTACTGAAAATAATCAGATGAAATTCTCTGCTAAATAACCATTTTTCCCATGTCTTTTATTTCAGTTGCACAGTTATCTGTGCCAATCAGCAGCCGCAAACTGCATGGAGCCACTTAGAAAATACTGCACCTCCTGGTAGGGAAACATAATCATTGCTCGTCAGGGGGTCCCACAAATCATGGCGAGTGCCCACCACACAGGGCTGAGTCTGAGGCTATTATTTATTCATTTCTTCAAATATTCAGGGCCTTGGTAGGAAGGGAGCAGAGTAGTAGTGCATTAATGCAGAAAGCCAGCCTCACTATGGTAATGCTGCATATAAATGTTGTTCTTAGCCACCTGCATGTGCACAAGAAGAAAGTTATAGGCCTCTGGACAGTCTGCACTTCACCCATGAGGCCCCTCTGGGCTTGCATTTATGCTGCACAGTGTAATGGTTGTCTCACCGCTGTTGGGTTTCTGCTCAAGACTGCAAATGCCTTCTTGTATGGGTCCAGCAATCCCTTAAAGACTTGTTTATTTTTGCACTCATTATTTATTTACTGCGAAGTCTCAAAATTAGGTAATTGGATGCACAGGCTGAATGCCAATGTGGTTAGGAGCCTTAATGTGAAAATAATATGAGAAACCAGTGCTGCTTTATAACAGAGTCCAGTCCCATTAGGTTCAGAAATCAAACTTGAAATAATTTCAGATACTTTTTCACTGAAAATATTTGCTTGCTTCAAAGGGACCCCTGTATATGTCTATATATTGTTGAATATTTGAAGAGCCCTGTAAGAATACAAACCACATCCACTACAGAATGATTATTTTAAGTGAGCACTCTTTAGTGAGCGTGGTTTGAAGTGTATTATTTGTAATGCTGCCAAAGTTAAAGCGTTTTAACTTAATGTATCAAAGTTTCTACAAAAATGTTCAATGTTGAAAGCAGTTGTGCTGATTCCAACATTGATAATTATAAGAAATGTTTCTTGAGCAGCAAATCAGCATATTAGAATGATTTCGGAAGGATCACGTGACACTGGAGACTGGAGTAATGGCTGGTGATAATTCAGCTTTGCCATCACGGGAATAAATTACATTTTGAAAAATATTAAAATAGAAAACCGTTATTTAAATTGTAATAATATTTCATAATATTACTGTTTTTATTGTATTTTTGACCAAATAAATGCAGCGATGATGAGCATAAGAGAGTTAAAAAAGCATATATAAAAACATTCATATTAGTACCATAAGAGTACATATTACTACCTTAAAGGTACATATTACTACTCTAAGGTAAATGCACCCTTTATGGGTAAAGAATGTATACAAATGTGTCCCTTTGAGGGTATTGCTCCTGTAGCGAATCAGCTCACGGGAAATATTAATAATTAATCATAACTAGTTATAATTGACTATAAATATTTGGAGTGTTGTAGCTCACATCTTTTCAGAATTCAAACAAACCACCGACTCTGGGAGGGTCCCTGGTGTGGGGCCTTTAATGTCTCAGAAGATTCCCGCCTCTCAAGATGGGCTTGTCCAATGAGAAAGGCTGAAATCCCAAGCGGGAGTTTGAAATACTGGGGAGTTTTATGACCCTTTGTGTGGAGGATGGTAATTTGCATATGGAACTTGAATCGAAATTGCTAAAGATTTTCAGGATACTAATATATTGCCTATGTACCAACATATAATATACACTCTCGTTTAGATCATCAGAAGACTAATTCATAGATACTAAACATGGTAGGATTACATATAGGTAAGATGACAGGAACGAGTGGTTCCATCATAAGCCTGCATAAAACAGTATAAAATATCAAAGACAACATACACAATGACCTGAAGGATATGTGTGTTCATTCAAAGAAAGGTTTTCCTATGAATTAATTAGGGAAGAGTCCATTTCTACTGTGCATTGTGTCTCTTCCTATGGAAAAGGTAGTGATTTTCTCTACCCGCATTCCTTTGGGCCATAAAACCAGTGATATCAGCATTGGTTGCCATGGGGACCGGGGGGGCTTGGTGTCGTTCGCAGACATCCTGGCACCCAGTTTATTGGGTGAGGGGTCTGTGACGATTTGTTAATCTAATGAATAACTAATTTGTTAAATCAAATGAAAAATTGTGTGTTTGATTGGTCCAGACGCTACACTCCATTGACTAGCTGTTATACCCCTAAAGCTACAATTTTTGCACATTTTTTCTGACAGTGAAGAGGTTAATAATCAGAATGACTATTTTAGTGGCTAGTTTTTTGTTGTATTTGCAATATCTGGCAGGTCCTTTTAGGTGTGCATATATTATATTATGCTTTCTTTGCGATGGTTGTTGTTGGCATAGATGGTTAATTTGTAGTGGGAGTAATTTGTAGTCTCGCAGACAGATGCACTTCAGTCTAAGCAGCTGGCATTTAAAGGCAAAGTGTTTAATTTCCGTACAACTATGACACCAAACAGAATTTGCCACAAACTGACGCCACTGAACTAAGCTATAAGTTGGCATGTCGGACTGTTCAAACAAAAAATATAATTTTAGTCTGGAATATGTTATATTTTGAAGAAGAAATCATAATATCATCCATTTATATATAATCTAATCAAGATTAATTAAAAGGTTCTGTGGTGATTAGAAGTGTGTCCAGTCATTTGTGTACTTGCTTCTGTAAACTCTTAGATGATGTTTTCTCTGGAGAAACCTTGGATTCAGTGAGTAGCTTAGTTTGTGCCTAAGCTACAAAAAAAAGGAAGATGGGTTTCTCATTTACTCAAATTAATTAATCTCCGTTGCTGTGCCACGGCATAGGATATAAACCATAATCTTCAGGCAGGTTGCATAATTAATACTCATTAATAACCGAGAGAAGGAATAAAGATAACAAACAAAATGATGATTTAATGATGCATCTTGCCTGGCTATGATGTGCTGTGGCTTAAGACCACTGGCTGCTTTACAAATTAATTGAGATAGATAACCTGTCAGTAATAAAGGAATATGATACCCCTGCCTAACGAAGCAGTTGCTAGAAATTATAAATTAGTGTGCCATGCGCAATGTGATGGCAATTCCATGATATATGAAAAATATTAAATACGTCTCATTACGATGCATTAGACATTTTACATCTGAGTAGTTTTCCTGTTTGATAACTACAGCTATGTGAGCGACATCGCTGATAGGATGGTCCATCTTCATTGCAAAAATGTTGTATTAGCTGCAGTTAAAACCTAAATTTGGGGTCAGACTGAAGTCCTATACTTTGGTCACGCTCCAACTGTGGACAAATTGGATGATATTTGCATGGACACAGTTTAAAGGGTTAGTTCACCCAAAAATGAAAATTCTGTCATTAATTACTTACCCTCGTGTTGTTGCGCCGGCGCTGACCCAGATCTGGCGTGATGACGTCACATGTCATGATACTGTCGTGAATGCGCGTCCACAAGTGACGCAGCCGGCGCCACCACACGCTCACTACTTTGCCGATCATCTTGGTACTTTTCTGGACCTTGAACGTGGTAGTTACCTTGCTGTCTATGGGAGGGTCAGAGAGCCCTCAGATTTAATCAAAAATATCTTAAATTGTGTTCCGAAGATGAACGAAGGTCTTACGGGTTTGGAACAACACGAGGGTGAGTAATTAATGACAGAATTTTCATTTTTGGGTGAACTATCCCTTTAAAATTAGAGTTTAACACCGTGCAACTGGGGCCGTACTCTGAGTGGTTTTAATGATTAAGTCATTCAATTTAAAAATGATCAAAATTGATTATTTGATGCTGTGAATAACTTG